CTTTTCACCAGCCGCGTGCAGGCTGGCGATGTTATGCAAAAAGTTGAAAAGTTGCGGATCCCTGCCCATCAGCCCTCTTGAGCTTTTTTAGGTGCGCGCGTGTGCTGGTCGCGGCTCGTCTGGTCAGCTCATGCCTCTGTGGGCTACGCAGTTGCTCGGAGGCGCCAGCTTTTTGCTCGCCATTGCCGCAACGGCCCTCCTGGTCGTCGAAGGGCTCAAGAATGGTCATGCAGCCCACATTGTTCTCGCTGTTTGCTGCATTCTCGCTGCCACTTTGGTGCGCCGATGGCCTGCACCCGTGTTGCCTTGTCTGAAAGAATACATTTTGTGTCTGTGCTTGCCCTCACGGTCCAGCTGGCGACCCGTCACCCTTGCCAGTTTTTCTTCATTGCCCGGCTCTACTTGAAGGATTACCTCCAAGATCGCAAGGTCGTTTACCTGGCTTGTGCCCTTGTGATTGTCCTGAGCTGCTGCGGTACGTCTTTGCTCCCTGACGCTCGGTCTGCTGCCTCTGAACATAATATCTCAATTGCCCCACCAATTCCCACGTTACAGGTCTCTTGTATGCGACTGCTTGGGGAGACTCGTCGTGTCCTGATATCTTTGCCAAAGCCTCGTGTGAAAAGGGTCTTCTTGACAAGAACGGCAACTGCCTCGATATCAACATCACCACGGTGCGCAACCGTGTTCTTTCGCTTTGTTGGTTGCATCACACTCGCCTCGACTCATCCATGCCCCAACTACTGATCTGGTCCGATCCTATAGAGCGCCGGCACTTGCGTGCAGCTTTCAGGGGTGAGTGCTTGTTGGTTGCAATGTCGGGCTTGCAATGTCGCCTTGGCCCTGTGTCTGGACAAGCTGTTTTGTTTATTTGTCTCCCGTTCATTTTCTCCGTCTCTTGCCCGTGCCTCTGGTTATCTGTCTTTGTTTGCCTTCTTCCCCGCCTCTCTTTCCCTTTGCTCGACTGAAACTCAAACTCACACTGTTGTGTTGCCCGCAGCACACCAACCAATACACAGCCAGCGCTGTGTTCTCGCCAAAGCCAACTTGTACCGAGTCAGTCATGGCCATTCAAAAGTGCGGCTCCATGCCCAACATCACTTGCACGCCGTGCAACAACACCAATGTTTCTACACCCGTTAAGTTTTCAGAGGTGTACGCTCAACAGGCCGCCGCGACAGATGCCAAGGATGCTCAGGCCACCAAAAATTAGCCACCAAGCATTTGATCGTGTGCACATGTGCCGTCCATGTTGTTCAAGCGCGGGAGTGTCGATATGCTGCCTGGGCCGCGTGGTTTGTCTTTGTTGTAGAGCACAGGCGTCTGCGTGATATCCTTAAGCGCGTTGGAGCAAGTGAAGTGTCAGCTTCTCCACCTCTAAATGTCGCACGCGTTCTCCGACCCTTGCTTGTGCGCCCCTCGTTTCTATCGTTATTTGTCCTGTCAGTCAGGTGCATTTCGCCAAAGTCCACTCAAAAATACTTTCAAGCTCGGCTTCCTCTTCCTCGACAACCACACCAGGCAAAGCTGCTGTACTCTGGCTGTCTAACCCGACGGGTCAGATATCACTCGTGCACGGTCGGTTGCACAGTTTGCACTGAAGGCAAAAGTTTTGGGGGGCTTAGGCTGCAAATAGATGCCAGACCCTGATAACGTGACGACTCGGTCAGCTATGTAATTGCTGTAACTCAAAGCGACCAACAGTGCGTGTCTAACAGGCAACGTGGTCAGTCCTACAGAGGGCCGCCAATCTGCACAGCCAAGATGTCATGCCAACGACAGGTTGCAACAATAAAATAAGAGAGAGAAATGAAGGGCCAAGCCACAAGAAAGACGTTGGAATCCTTGCCCATCACTAGATACCTCGCCACTGGATCCGACTCAAAACAACAAAAACAATTCGACATCTAGAGTCGAGACTCCGAGCTGTTGGTGGCGTCTTGGTCATCCGCATCGCCATCCGCATCGCCATCACCGTCCGCGTCATATTCCGAGTCCGAGTCGTTGCGCGCCAAGCGGGCTTGCAAAAATTCGAGTTGATTCTCAAGCAGGGCCATGTGCTGCTTGAGGGTGTGAAGATTTTCCAGGGCCGAATGGAGAACCCGTTTCGTGGACATGCCATTGAGACTGGCAGCCATGGCACTAGGACTGGTTGGGAGGGAGGAGAAGGGCGAGCCAGCCTCCTCGAGTGACGCGTCCGTTTTAGCCTTTTTCAAAGGTCGCCGTGCGTCAGTGCGAGGCGCATTTTTCAAAAAGCGTTCAATGAAGACCATTCCAAAGCAAGCCCAAGGGCACGGACGCCAACGCTGCCAGTCTGGATACACCATGCCGTCGAGCGTGGTGCCAGGCAATCGTAGGCTCTGGCCAATGTGTTGAACGGCAGACGGGAAGCCATGGTGCTGCTTGCAGGCCAAACACTGGTATTTGGATTGGAGTCCATTGATACGGCAAAAGTTCATCTTCGACTCGTGAAGTTGCGTTACAACGGCCAGGTCAAAGACGTCGCGTGGAATGGAAACGTCCATCAGACGCTCCCGAATCTCTGGGTGGGCCAGAGCCATGCCCAATTGCTCCTTGGTGCGAATTTTCTGCCAAGAACAAACGCGAACGACAGCAACGGCGACAGTGGTCAAATGCACGCGGGCATCGAGGGCAGCAAAGTCCCATGGGTGGTCGATATGATCTGCCACAGGGAACAAGCCGTCAATCTCCAAAAGCCATGTTTCATCACATCGGAAGCTTACCTGTAACTTGACAATATTGAGCTCCTTTGTAGCCTTTTCGCACCAGTGTTCATTTGGTGTGATGATGCCAAAGTGCTGAAATGAAATGGCAGTGGTGTCAGGTGGTGTCAGGTGTGTGGTCGCCGTCGCTGCCGGACAGGGTGGCAAACACAGGCAGGAGGAGCGCGAGAGGGCGAAATGCGACTGCACCTTGCAAAAATCTGGGTCTGAAGGGCGGATGAAGAAGCTGGTGGGGTACTCAAAGGCTCTGACTGGCAGGGAGAGGCCAGCATCAAGTTTGGCATCATGGTTCTGGACGTTTTGGACGAACGACGGTGCGTGATGGGCCATTGAACTGGGCGGGGCTTGAGAGCTGGCAGTCGAGGCCTGCGAGCCTTCTGGTAAAAAGGTGTCTGCATGGGGGCACGTCATTGAAGAATCGTATGAGCCGAGAGAAGAAGAAGAAGAAGAAGCGGAATCGAGAGAGAGAGAGAGAGAGAGAGAGAGAGAGAGAGAGAGAAAGTGAGCGAGCGAGCATGAATGATGAACGATGGGTACATGTATTCCAGGATCCACCCAGGGCTATGATGAACGATGGGTACATGTATTCCAGGATCCACCCAGGGCTCGGGGCACAAATGTTGCTGCTTGCTTGACTTACGAGAGGCCATGGTGGGCTTTCACAAGTTGATCGGTGGGCCGCTTGCGCCCCCCGCCCTGTGTACATTGACAAAGAGCTTAAAACTGCAATATCTACACGCGTGTTGGATGCCAAACAGTGGATGCATCGGGGGTAAGAAGTGGGTCACATGCAGCACGTGAAGATCGGGATGAGGGGTGGCAGCACAATTTTGCAGTTTTCACGAGGAGTGTAAACTCACGATTCCCACGCGCGTGCGTGTGTGCATCAGGTTCTTCAACTATCAGAAACCAGTGCCGAAGGGCAGCAAGTGCGACGACAAGCCGGCGACAGGAGCTTTGGGCAAGGGCTCCAGGCGCCGGCAGACGGAACACGTTTGCTTGAATGCAATCGGCTGAGCGGGTGAATCGTGGAGGTCAAGTGAGGACGGCGTGGGTCGAGCGACATGAGCGACAACCAAGTGTCAAGAGCGGTGGTGGTGCGTGGAGGGAAGGCTGTAGGATGAAAGGGATGGGGCGGGAGATACAGGCCCAGCAGGTGCTGGGATTCAATCTTGGGATTCTTGGATAGGTTGGCTTGTTCAGTGGGACACGCGGTAAAATCAAGCCGCCCCGCGACCAAACAAAGCGGGAGGGACGCGAAACGAGCACAAACACGTCTTTGGGGCAAGCGCTGGCCATGTGAAGAGGGGGGCAAAGGGAGGGAGGGTGGGAGGGGCTCTGCGCGGTCTGTGAATCCACAGCATCCATCCAAACACACGCAAAACGTGACACGATCGCAAGAGAGAGAGAGAGAGAGAGAGAGAGAGAGAGAGAGAGAGAGAGAGAGAGAGAGAGAGAGAGAGAGAGAGAGAGAGAGAGAGAGAGAGAGAGAGAGAGAGAGTGTGTGTGTGTGTGTGTGTGTTTGAGAGAGAGAGAGAGAGATTGTGATGCTGCAACATGACAACAACAACAACAACAACAAACAAAATGAGAAAACGCAGCAACTACAATAACACGGAAAGTATCGACATAAAGTATAGTGAAGGGGCCGATGACAAAGGTAATAACTATGCGATCAACGACATCAACGACAGTGACACCCAAACGCCTTTGCAATGGATGGTATGACGAGCAAGCACGAAGAAGTTCCATCATCATCACCATCACCACGACCACTGTAACCTCCACCACGACACCATCACAACGGGATCCCAGCCTTCGTCCTCGCCCACATCACATCACACACACACACACACACACACACACACACACACACACACACACACACACACACACACACACACACACACACACACACACACACACACGCACACACACACACACACACACACACACACACACACACACACACACACACACACACACACACACACACACACACACACACACACACACACACAGAGACAGGTGTGCGCGGACAAAAATACTCGGATGGAGGCGAACATGGACACGAACAAGGAAGGATGAGGACATTGGTGTTTGTGGTTTTGCAGAGGTTGCCGATGCGGGTGAAAGGATGCTGGGGACCATGGGCAGGGAGGCAGAAAAAGCAAAGCCGAATCGAAAAAGAACACGGAAGGATGCGGACAAGCAAGATATGCGGGAGCGGGGCGATGGAGGCGGTAGCAGCGGATGTAAGGCCAACAACTGTTGCGTGTGCCAGTCAAGTCAAATCTGGAGCGAAGATTGCTTCATGTTGGTCGTGTAGCGGTTCGATGTTTGAATGAGTGCGGCGGGTACTATCAAAGCACACACGATGCCATAAAGAGCACACTACGAAAGACTCGATCTAATGCGTGCCGTCACTCTGAAGACTTCGGGTTGGATAGGTTGGTGCACCGTAAACACAGAAGGAGCGCAAAACACTGAACCACTGGCGGGGACAAAAGAAGAAGAAGAAGAAGAAGAACAGGAGGAAGCAGAAGAACAGGGGGAGGAGGCAGAAGAACGAGGATGCAACGATGCCATGGCATGTCCGAGAGAAGGTTGCAGCCGACTTGAAAGTCAAGAACTGAAATCAAGACCAACGCACAGACCAACGCACAGATCACCATCAAGCCAAAAGCAAAGACCGAGCCGTGGCTCATGCACAGATCACAGGCGGACGCACAGACAACGCACAAACTGATGTATAGACGATTGCACAGGGCAGACAGAGGCGGCGGCATTGGCCGAAGCGAAAACAAAACACCGGCCAGCTATAGGCCAGGCCGAGGCACAGACTGATAGAGATACTAGCAGGCCGAGGCACAGACTGATAGAGGTACTAGCAGGCCAAGGCACCGACGAACAGCGGCACTGACAGCTACCGGCACCGACGAACATCAACGAAGCAACGAAGCACGAATCACCCCAGCATGGAGGCGCCATGGAGATATTGACAAGGTGACATCCCAAGAGCAGAGGCACTGATAGGCATAAGGGAGCAGGGCAATGCTCCAAACAGAGGCGCGACACAAGACAGGGGTGGAGACGAAGACGACAGCTTCACAAACAGAGATGGAGAAGGGAAGCGTTGGCGAGGAAGGCCGGGTGTTGAGTTGTTGCGTATTTGATGTGAGATGCTTTGCTCAAACATGCACTGTCCCTCTGTGTGCGCCTTTTGCATCTGTGTGAAAGAGGAA